AAGTTCAAAGCATATTATTTCAGTCGCCTTCAGGTTTCTCCGATAGATTACTCGTCACTATCGAATGTGATGTCATACTCGCACGCTTTTTCCATATTATCTTTTTCGTGTGCTATTTGGCTTGTCGACATACAGAATAAGTGTCCTGCCGAAAGTCGGAAAAAACACTCCTATGTAGTTCAACATGAATTCTCTGAACAGTAAACGACCCCATCGCCATTTGTTTGGTGTTCGTTTTGGTTGAACTGCTGTTTGCAGAATTATTTCCAATGGTATATCGAATAAAAATCAAAATCCCTTGAACAATTTAATGTCTTTTCAATTTAAGTGTCCGCAGGTTACGTGCAAGAAGAAAGCAACAGATTAGATGAGGGACATCTCGATGCATTCATGAATTTATTTTGTACGCATAAAGGGGATCTCGGATCCTGTACATGCCCTCACTCTCGAGGACGAGTCAATTTCTGATTGATATCACTCCCGTCTCACAATTTCTTATAAACAGGAGGTAATGCGCCAAATCCGGTATGAGAAAATCTACGACCTATTGGCTCAGCAAGATACACTTAAAATGGAACTGATGACAACCAAAGATCGTCTTCTGATCGATCCATCCACATGGAGTTTTGATTGTGAGTTGACTCCATCAGTGTTTTTTTATTCTTCCCCAGTAATGTAATAGACAGTTTTGGTCCGTTCAGTTCCTTGGATGATATACATGTTGCGTATGGTAAACACCAATAAATACAGGTTGATATGCGATTTTAAAAGGTATGGTTAAGCACATAAGACATGTGTGAAACCTGCACAGAAACAAACACAATGACGGATATGGTGGTGGAATTCAAATACGTCTTCTGGGACGATAATTAGGCGACCTTCTCGGTCACCACCACCAAACTAATGTGCAACTACGGCAACCAGAAAGATGTCCTCATTCAAATGTTTATTGTTGGTAATATACACAGCTGAAGCTTGTTGAATCCCGTAGGACCTGTACATACCAGGTTCGGATGGCAGTATTGTATTTGTACAACTTGCGCAAGCCCATCTTTCAGATGAAACTGTTCAGTGATCGTCAAACTGAATAAAATATACAATTTCATATGACATGCAAACTGAAGAACGTCGCTGAAGTTTGTCTCATGTACGAAATTCACTTACGACCTGTTGGTTTTAGGTTAGGGTACAGGAGAATTCTTATAAATGTTAATACGACAGGGTAGATGCCAAAAAGAGGAACGTGTGGACGAATGGGAACGACAAGATGATAGATCGGAATGTAGCGGATAAAAAGGGTCATCTAGAATCTTAATGGCAAAATTAAATACAGTAGTTTATGTGACCATTAATGAGTTCTATGAATAATAAATCGATTGAGATTAATGTTACACGACTACTTATCATCGAACCACATCAAATGGTTTTAACGCTTTGCTTTAAAAGACCGAGAAGCAATAGAGTAGAATGGAGAAAACGCTTGGTAAACGAAAGAGGATAAGATTAACAATGGAGTTCGGAATTACCTGAGTTTACGTGACTGAAAAGAGAGGTTTCTCAGTTTTCCGATACAACTGTAAATAGGTGAGGACCAGTGAAACTTACTGTCGATAGTGACGCACAGGCAGTTGACCGAGATCATCCTAAACACGGGTTTACAGTTAAAGGAAGGAGATTCCCCTGGAAATGAGGATCAGCAAAGATTGAAGATACACTCCATGCACTTAGATCTATTAAGACTAGGCAGACTGGTTGGAAAACTGTTGCACGTGGGATAGATTTTCAGTGAAACAATCAATTTTCAGCATACATTTGGATGTGTGTGGAGGGTGATACCGAAAGAAGATGAAGGAAGAAAAGAGATATTGAGATAGAGCAGCACCTGAAAGCATACCAGAATTATTTAAAAGAGGTTTTCGTGTATTCCTTCCTAATTTAAGGGCATTGGAAGCTCTCGGTGTGAAAAATTCAGAAAGACGTGAGAGCAGCTGGCCCGGAGTGCCAAAAGACTAATAATGGAAATAAAAACGGGATACAGGAATCAAAGAGAGGTTGTCTTCTGAGAACACGAAGGAAATATACACACATTGGTAGTGATTTTACTTTTATAACGGTGAAATACTGGACAGCATTGAACGGTTACACAGTAAATGCATCTTTTCAGAATAGTTGTATATAAATTCTGATTTGCCGCACCAGGATATACTGACGTAGGTTGCCAAAGCCACCTTAAGTTCTTTCCTACTTCGCTGCCTATCCTACCGGTAACAATGGAAGCCATCAATTGGCGCGAGTATGTTCTCAATGTTTTCGTTCAACCAAGTTTCTTGTACACGTACAACACACGTGTTGAAATTAATGCGTGTGTTCAGAATGGGGGACAAAAGCAAGATCTTCGCGGATAGTAAGTGAATGTTGGTGCTAATGAACGAGGGCACAGTCATCTTGACAGTAGGGGTG